GTAAAACACATCATTAGGTACGTGTGCATGTGTGTGTAGATACACACACACACACACACACACACACACACACCAGCAAGATCACATACAGATGTAGTGTGCTATACCAGGATAATACTTAGCTATGATATGGAAAATACATTAAGTTGAAAACAGTATCACTAGAGATAATAAAGGTCACCACAAGGCCTTGTGATTGGGGACTGGCCAGTCCTATACCGACATGCATACAAGCTGAAGTCCATCAATACAACGCTGCCATTCTGATCTCATCTAGCTTCTCCACTCTCCACCCTCCTGGTCCTTCCTTTTCTGCTATGACCAAACACCATCAGTGAAACTCCACCCGCAATTCCATCAAGGCAAAATGAACTCTCGTAAGAAGTTTAAGAAACAGAACAGGTCTAAGTCAGCTTTTATAAAACGGGGATGCATCAATAAGAAGCAAATGTGTAGACATCACATAGGTCACACATTTCCTTCCTCTTTAATAACTGTTTAGAGGCAGAGAATTCAAACGAGCTTACAACTCCAGGTCACTTCACCTTAACCTACTGCAGCGCTGAGTTATTTAAAATGCAGTTGCTGCTGGGTGGTTAAGATCATCTGCTGTATTCTTGCAGATGACAGGCGTTCAGTTCCCAGCACCTTTATCAGAAGACTCACAACTGCCTGTAACCCCAGGTCCAGGGAATCTGACACCTCTAGCCTCCATGGGCACTAGCACTCATGTGCATACACCACACACAGATAATACAGTTTAAAATAAATCTTAGAGGGTACATAGCTCGGGCTGGAGAGATGGCTCAGAGGTTAAGAGCACTGGCTGTCCCTACAGAAGATCCGAATTGGAAGCATCCCAGCATCCACATGGCAGCTAACAACTGTGTGTAACTCCAGTTCCAGAGGCTCCGTGACAGGCACTGCATGACATGGGTACACTTACACATATGCAGACAATATACTCATACACATAAAATATCAAAAAAAAATTTTTTTTTGAAGGAAGGAAACATGGCTGCTTAGGGCTGGCGACATAGCTGGCAGAGACCTGTTACCTAGCACTCACAAGGCTCTGAGCTGCATCCCTAGCATGAAAGTAACAACAATAATAATTACAGTAACAGTACAACATGCTGGTTAATGCTGTTAATGTTCTCCATCTGTCTAATGGGGGAGGGGTTAAAGACAATACAGGGTAACCTCCCCGGCAGATGTAAGGACTAAGTAAGATAATTCACATCAAGTACATCGAAAATTAACACTTAGCAAATGTTCCAAAGATACCATATTCTTGTGATTCCTTAGTGAAGGAACTGTAAGTTTGTCCTAAAAGACATTCCTATAAACTGAAACTTAAATAAAAAGGCATAAAGGTAAAGATTTAATAATATTGATCAGCGAATTAAAGATTTAAGTGAATTGCAGTTGAGGAATCCAAAGCAAATTCACCAGTGTATATGCCACTCACCTAAAGAACACATGGGTAAAGATTAGCTTTACCCTTGAAAACTTCTTTAAAACCTGGGGCCTGGAGAGATAACTCAGTGGTTAAGAGCACTGGCTGTTCTTGCAGAGGACTCCGTTTGATTCCCAGCACCCATATGGTGGCTAACAACCATCTGGAACTCCAGTTCCAGGGTTATCCAACACCATCTTCTGGCATTTGGGCACTGCTCACATGTGGGGTACACTTACACACATGCAGGAAACCACTCAGACACATAAAAAAACTGTAACTTCATGGAGAAGGCAAATTCATAAATAACTGAATTTTATATATTTAAAAATATTCCAACAAGTAGAAAACTATAAACCACATGTACAACCAATCTGAAGAAAAAAATGTCAGATTTTTCTTTTTAAAGTGGACATACTCATATAAAACTTAGTATTCTACCAATTTTGAAGTCTCTTTATGACTCTATATTGTCCCAAATCATTATTTAAGAAACCATCTGGAGCTGAGGAGATAGCTCAGGGGGTAAAGAGTTTACCATGCAAGTGTGCAGTAGAATTTGGTCACCAGCACCCACTTAAGTGTCAAGTGGGTAAATAGCAGCCCACCTGTAATCCCAGATGTAGTAGACAGACAGGATCCCTGCCCCCAGAGCAAACACACACATACACACACACACATGCAAATCAATGAAATGCAGATATGTAAGTTTGTATGCAAAAACATGTCATCAACAAAAGAACAAAGTAATTGTATTTATAAACAGATTTTACAGTGTTTTATTAAAGAAATCCAAGTGTCCAGATGGCCCATCAATCCCACCTCCAGGAATCTCCTCTGAAGAGACAGGTCCAAAGACACAAAACCACAGAGATGCATCACCCACTGTACTCCTGAATGTATAATGTCCCCAGGGCTGAAGAGATGGCTCAGCACTAGCTGCTTTTGCAGAGGACTCAGGTTCAGTTACCAGCACCAACATGGTGTCTAACAACCACCCATAACCACAGTTCCAGGGGATCCAACGCCCTCTTCTGACCTTGAGCACTGCATAACACAGGAGCACTTACACACAAGCAGGCAATATGCTCATAAGCATAAAGTAAAAACAATAAAAACATTTTTTTAAAAAACTGTAGAAAGCCCCTCAGTGCCTTAGGTAGAAAAGAGGCTGGGTAGACAGTGCTCTGCGTGTATTCGGAGTACTGCTGTATCTCGGTATAGCATAAGGAAGCCTCTACAAACTGACAGATTACAAGAACTATTGACTAGAAAAAAATAAAATGCAATGAAAAAACTGGTATCCTTTACAGAAGTGCACAGAAACAGTGACTACATTAAACACCTAAGAATGCCCCAAACCATGAGTTTATACTGACATACGATTCTAGTCTAACACCGGACAATTCATTTCAGGTTGTCCCTGTTTGTGACTTCTTTGACACTAAGAAACCTGGCCTTTGTGTATGAAAACCCCATGTGGCTGCTAATTGTGCAGAAGGAAAAGGTTGACTCAGAAACTAAAGTCACAGGTTACTTTTACTGTAGGTACATGAAGACGTGTACAGAAGAAACAAAGTTTTAGTGAGACTGGGTCCTCATGGTGTGAGTGTGGGGCCATGAGAGGAAGAATCTCAGAGTGGCAGGGTAGGAGGAAGGACACTTCTCTGGCTCAGAATCACAGTAATACTCTCAGACCTTTTACATATTTCCCAGACAAACCTTAATCCCCCCCACCCCCCAAGATATGAAGTCAACCCACAGTGGAACACAAATGAACCCAGGGGCGGTATCACCCCAATGAAGGCGGGAAGACAAAGCACAGACCCAACCAAAGAAACTTTGGGCATCAGGTTCTTGACTTCTAATATGAAGAACCATACGCATTGTGACATAATGAATGAGCTTATGAGCTTCTCCAGGGGGAGAGATGAGCACTTCTGACACCGCCTTAGTGTGTACTACACCGAAGAAACAGTGTAGCTAAGAACCAGGGAAGTCAGCAGTGGAGAAGGAAGTCAAACAGGGAAAATCAAGCGAATCACATGATCTCAGACTAAAATCAAGTTTCAGTATAAATGTGGTTTTTTAATGTTTTTTTTTTAATTTTTGTGTATAAGTGTACTGGCTGCATGTACCTAAGTGCAACCATGCTGTACAATGCCCACGGAGGTCAAAAGAGGGCTTTAGATTCCCTTGGAACTGGAATTACCGACAGACATTAGCTGCCAGTGGGTGCTGGGAATCGAACCCAGGTCCTCTGAAGAGCAGCCAGTGCTCTTAACCATAGAGCCATCTCTCCAGCTCCCCAAAATATGTGGTTTTAAATACATTCAGAACATTCAGATATAAAAATATGTACTAGTTAGCATACATACATAGCCTCTGCCCACTGAATAGGCCAAGAGATGGCACCTGAGGGGCAATAAACACTTAAGTAGATGTTGGTAGCTAAGCACACTCTAAAAAAAAAAAAATCCTCCTTGCAGAAGTTGATTCCAGGGGCTCAGACAGAAGAAAAAATAGAAGATAAGCCTGCAATATTTTGTTTAAGAGCAAGAAAGTACTCAAAAAGTATGGGAACTTAGCTGGATACATACCTAAAAGGAGGATTGCAAGTTCAAGGCCAGTCAGACCCAGTGAGACCCCGCCTCAAAACAAACAAAATACTACATGTATATGAATGAAAAGCATAGTCCCAAGACTCAATCTATGGAGCTGAGCAGTACTACATCATGTGGGTTTTCAGCATACACAAAAATCTGCTGTGAGACACTCTGCCTTGATTCTACCCCATGTAGACCTATTTGAAAAGGGAACATAGAATGCATAACGAGCAGGCTCAAAACAAGGCTCATGAACATGAAAAACTATTTAATGACAGTTCTCTTGAGATTATACAAGTTTAAAAACACATGGCCTTACAAGGAGGTTTGTGCCTGGGAAGATCAGCACAGAAAGCCTCACTTGAGTGACAGGTGAGAACGAACACTCCTGAGTGTGGGTGTGATTTGTACTGTTGGTTTGGTTTGGGAGTGGGGTGAACTGAAATAAAAACAGTACAAAATATGTGCAGATGATCAAAACTGACTTTATAAAAAGAGATCTATAATTTTTAGGCGCTCTGTTCTGAATTATCCATTAACTACTGTGGATTCAAGCTCACCCCTTTATCATGAAAATACATATTCATACAACTTTTACAGTGGTGCTGTTCTAATTACAAATAGCTTCTACTTTTCTGGGATATAATTTCACTTTGTTTAAGCAAGAATTCATTAAAGAAGCTATAAATAACCTTTAAATATTTAGCCATGAATAGAGGGTGGACTGGCATTGATGGCTTATTTTAGTACTAATGCAGAATGCTTTTTAAAAGCTACATTTTAGCATGCATCAAGCTAATGATTAACACTTGCAGTGTAATTTTCAACCTTAGACTAAACTTCTCTTTAAGGAGTTTGGGCTGCAAATAAATACATTATTTTGGTTATTTACTAGTGGTAAAGCAGCCTTAAGAATGAAAATATGAGAGAATTCAAACATTTTTTAAAAATCTTTATTTTAAAAATCTATTTTTTAAGCATCTAGACAAACTTTCCTCTCCCACAGGTAATCCCAGTGAACACCGTACAGAAGGGGGGAGAAGAGGGGCCCTGTGGAATCACAAGGACTCGTGGATCTGCAGTTATGTAGAAGAGACACAAATCAAAGTTCTAACTCAGGACATTCACAACATTTATAAACCAAGTTTCACAAAAGTTTTAGTTGAAAAAAAGTTGCAAAAAATATTATTTTTCCAGTCAAATTTTTCCACAGGGCTCATGTCCTGCTTAAAGATTATAGTGGGACATTCAAAGGAAAAGTTTTTCAAGTAGCCACCTAGCTGTGAAACCTACAAGAGTCATAGATTTTTTTTTTAAAGTGCCTTTAAAATGTGAAAGCATGTAATTATTGAAATCTATTTGAAATTTTTAAAAGTTTAACATGGTCCATATGGTAAACACGGCATCACAGCTGATACAAAACTGCCTGTATTTAGTTTGAATCACGAAAACAATGTAGATGAATAGTATTCTTTGAAAAATGATTTGAAATGCTACCACTGCATCCTAAGGCCAATTTAGACAGTGTCCAGAGAATTACCACAGCCAGCAGAACAGTGAAGCATCCAAACATTTACTTTGACTTTTTAAACACCGCTGAGGGAGCCGCTGCCACGCTAACTCAGGGTGCCCATTTCAAACTCCACATGACACATTTGCTGCATGTGTCCTAGGAGCCACCACGAGGCTTTCAAACGTGAAGCCCCATTCGCTAGTTCCTCTGCTGCAGTCTGGCGGCTCTGAACCTGGAAACCCTCCTTGCAGTTTCTTCTGGTACTTCGGACAGAACTTCTTTTCGCTCTGGAATGGTGGGTAAGACAGGGGGCGCCACTGCTGAGTATGGTGCCAAGGGTAAGAACTCCTTTTCTATTACAGTTCCAGAGAAAGCCTATAAAACAAAAGTGTACAGTATTAAATATAAACAAGATGCCCACAAAAATCTTTACCCTACTACCAATTAAGATATTTCTTCTTACTAAAAGTAAAGTCACAGATTTTTAGATAGACAATAAACAACAAAATGCTTATTGTCCAGAGAAACCAAACGACATTTTCTCTTAATTATATCACCAAATATAAAGAATTATAATACACATGCAAAAAAAGTAAAATGTCTATTTTTGTCTGAGGAAAAATAAAAGAATAAAGGTTCGCCAAATGTATACAGTTCATAGGTCCAACTCGTGCTGTGAAATACAATCTACTACATACGGAAGCTGCGTTGTGAAAGGCAGGCTCTGTCCATCAGCAAACGAATGCACTAGCCCTTAGTGGCCCTCTGCCTGCCAGCCAATCGGTTTCACCAGTACTGACATTTCCTTACTGGTGCTTATTTACGCAATTTTTCAAATATTTTACTGCATTTTGCCTCAATTTTAAAAAAGAAATCAGTAGAAACTGAAAAACCAAAGTGCTGAGACTAGTGTGCTCAGCACAGGCTTCAAAACCTTCAGACAACTGATTCAACGGCAGAAATTAGAAGTGTCACAAAAGCAACTCTGACTTCAGCTGGATATCTGCTGAACTTCACCAGGCCAACTGTGTGCTCAAAGGGAACTAGACAGAGTGATGCACAAATCACCAGTCTTCATAGATAGATATATACATACATATACATATATATATGTATATATATATATATCAAAATATGAAAAGGAGTCACTCTTTCAAAAAGATTTCTACTACTTGGGAGTCTTTCCTCTTCCATCTTCAAGGAACTTACATATAAACTACAATTTGACAGGCATACTTTCATATAGGTGTCATAGACTTGCTTACCTTTGTCTACCAAATGTTCAAAAGTAAGAGAATGTATCATTTAGTTTAAAAAGCCACTGATCACTCTTGAGTCCAGCCTTGGCAGACAAAAGAAAAATGAGGAGGAACCCAATAGAGGGATGCTTTCGGAAGCCCTTGTCAAGAAATTCCAATGGACTCTCATATGAACATTTGAAAATTGCCATGTTCTGACTTTTTTCTAGTTCCCTGTCTAGAACTTGTAATGCTAACTACTCATGCCTTTACTTCTCCTTCATATCTCCTATTCACCAGTCAAGGACTTTCTTTTCCCCCTACAGGATAAGAGTTATGCAATTTGGGAGTCTTTTAGATAGACCCACTGAAGGGGTACCCAACTGCCCCACCCTGTGTCCCTCTTCAGTATGGAAGAAGCCAGAGCAGTCTGCATCCTGATCCCCTATCTGCAAGTTGGGCAACCTCTTCAGAGGATAAGAATAGGAGGTAGGAATTGGCTAGGCAGTTAGGGTAAAAAGACCCCAAAGAAAAGTAGCCAGTTTCTTGGCTAAATGTCCTTGGGCCTCTTAACAACATACTCTGCTCCAAAGGCCAAAAATGTCGAAAAGTATTTGGGAGCTTTTATCTAATCCTTAAGATTTTAGGGTTACCTCTTCAGAGGGCGGAATGTTAGAGTAGCCAAAAGCCACATAAAAACAAATAAGAGTACATGAAGAAAAAAAGAAGAAGAAACAGGATCTTATCAGAAAAGAAGTATTCTCGAGATATGTGAACCAATGTTTTAGGACTAACTTCTCTTTTCCAACAGAATCTTTACAGAATTGTAGATAAGACTACAAATCCTAGATCTAGCTTGCTATTATGTTTCAGAGTGATTGTATAATGAATTAATACGTGTAACTAATTCAGTGTAGAGCTTGTTCCATAATATATGTTAAAACATCTTCTTTTACTAAGAAAAAAAAAGAATCTAAGAAGTCAATTTTTGAAGTGGCATGAAACTTTAAAGACAGTACGGATGTTAAATGTTTCAAACTTGTAAGCGTTCAACTTTTGAATATCTCTAACATAAAAAAAGTTTGAGTATGTACTCCCCCACCAAAAAAAAGAAGTGCTCTACCACTGAGCTACAAATAACTAAAATTAAAAAAAAAAAAAGCCACTGTACACCCTTGGGCACTCCAGCTCAAGTAGCCCACTGCTCCTTTGTAGTACAGTATATACTAGATGTACATATTACAGTATAGGATGTACTGTCTCTTTGGCTTTTGCCTTCTGCATTGCATTATGTGTGCTTGTGTATGTGCGTGCGTGTGTGCGTGCATGTGTGTAGAGGTCAAACGATAACTTGCAAGAGTCAGTTCTCTCCTTCCATGTGAGTTCTGGGTTAGAACTCAGGTCATCAGGCCTAGCAGCGAGCATCTTTACTTGATGAGTCACTGCTCTGGCTCTCCTGTACTGTATCTCTCTTTTTTCTTTAATATTTTATTTATTATTTTTATTTAATGTGTCCCCTATGTGCATACTGCCTGTATGTAGGTAAGTGCACCCGTGTCGTGCAATGCCCGCGAGGACAGAAGAGGCCATTGATCCCTAGAACTAGAGTTACAGACAGTTGTTAGCTGCCATGTGGGTGCTGGGATTCAAATCCAGGTCTTCTGCAAGAACAACCAGTGCTCTTAACCGCTGAGCCATCTCTCCAGCCCACTGTATCTCTTTAAATAAAACAGCTGGGCGTAGTTACACATGTTTAGTTCCAGCACTCGGGAGGCAGAGGGAGGCGGATCTCTGTGAGAGTTCAAGGCCAGCCTGGTCTACATAGCAAGTTCCAGGCCAGCAGGGGCTACAGGGAGACCCTGTCTCAAAAAGACCAAAACAAACAAACAAACAAACAAACCTTTTGCGGTTTGCTTACCCCACCACTGAAACAAAAATGAAGATGCCACCTTCCTTGGCATTTGAAGCCAAGCCATTAAGAAACTCAGAAACTGACTTATGAACACCCATGTCATCATGAACACTGACCTTCCTACTACCTTAAAACAGGCAAGGCAAAGATACTAAACATGATGTCTTTAACTTACTTGTCATAGTCATGCCCTTATGTTAAAATTCGTTCATCTAGCATGACAATTCCTTGTCAATCTAGTAAGAATGACAATCCTACTTTCCAGCTCTGACATGCTAAGTCCCTACAGAAACCAAACTCCCGAAGCCTCACTGGCCAAGTGTGCCCATGAGCTTACTACAGCAGACAGCTGCGAGCTCAGTCATCAGTCCAATGCACAGCACTAACTGGACACAGTGTACTACTAACAAAAATGGGGGGGGGGGCATGAAGGGAAGAGGGGAATGGTTGGGATGCCTGGGGAATGGAGGGAGAAATTGGGGACAACTTGAGCAAGTAGGAGGGAGTAGCTGGGGGTGCATATGATCAAGATGCTTTGTTTACATGTATGAAAGTGTCAAATAAAGACACTGTATTTTTTAAAACTTTATTGGTAAAGTCTCTACCCCACTACATGTTCTCTCAGACAGTAGTAGCAGACAGCTATATTGGGTGAGTGGGGAAGGTGAGTGGGGGAGTGGGGAGAACACTCTCATCACTTACAGGGCCTGGCTGCTAAAGATCTCTCACTGTTTACTGCATTTAGTACAAGTAATACCTGGGGTACAAGCAATGCCTTTTTTTTTTTTTTTTTTTTTTTTTTTTTTTTTTTTTGTTTTGTCTTTTTGAGACAGAGTCTCCCTGTAGCCCCAGCTGTCCTGGAATTCACTATGTAGACCACGCTGGCCTTGAACTCACAGATCCGCCTGCCATTTTTATGTGTGCTTCATATATACAAAAAATTTTGTTTCTTTGATATGTAAATGTGCACACTAACTTTGTACAGATATAAGCACCTCACTCTTCTGACATGCTTTTTAAACTGACACCTTTGGGGATACACCCAATAACAGGAACGGTAAGCACTACACAGGACTGTGTGCTTCGTGGACAGGCATTCTTTTCCACTCTCCCGCCTCTCCTCCACCTTTACATAACTACTGACAACAGAGCTCTCAGCTGTGTGCTGACTTTGCTGAGAGGAGTCTGCAGCTTCATCAGGCTGCAAAGTGAGTCCACAACCCTCAAGCATTCGGCCTCCTTAGCACCAACCAAACAAAGGACTTGAGGTCACTTCTGCCAGGGCTCATTTTGTTCCTAACCTCACCTCACTGAAGCACTTCCATAGAATGAAGCCACTAAGGGGTCAGAAAGTGACTGATCTGATCCACTGGCAACCCAGTTAACATAAACACTGAATGGCTTTCTAGACAAAAACACCACACATGCCAGTTCCAGTATTTTCAAATTCCCATTTAACAGAAGTAAAACTTGAAGACAGGCAACACTATTAACAACCATTCTAACACCACAATACTTACATTGTGCTTGCCAGCAATTATAGACACTTTTTACAACGTATCATCAGCACAACACAAAGGCCAGGTGTGGTGGCACAACCATTAATCCCAGGCAAAGGCAGGAGGATCTCTGTGAAGTCGAGACCAGCCTGGTCTACATAAGGAGTTCCAGGCCAGCTAGGGCTACAGAGAGACCCAGTCTCAAAAAGACACCCCCAAAAGCACAAGCCTAGGATTGAGAACCTATGACTTTTTGGAATAAACAGCAAAAATGGCCCTATGCCACATGAAACAGTTGGAGACGCACCTCAGGCGCCCCTGAAGAGGGCAAGGGTTTCTTCTCATGATTTTCCTGGGGTTCCTCTTCCAGAATGCTCTCGCTAGCATTGCTGCAGACAACCTCCTCACAGCTGATGCTCCTCAGCACCCCCCGGCGATCATCCAGCTCAGCCACGCTGCTCTCGCTGGTGTCACTGCACACGCTGTTCTCTCTGCTGCGAGACTTCAGGATTGACTTCCGAGGGACATATTCTCCATTCACAACGTCGACAAAGACTCTTCAATATTCAAGAAACATAGCCTCACTTTAAGGAACTCATATAACTGAGAATAGCTTTATAAAGATTTCTTCAATATTTTCTTCTAGAAATTAATCTAAAATTTGCTTTTGAGGTTTTCTGTTTGGTTGGTATTGTTTCAGAGAGGGTCTCATATAGCCCAGACTGGCTCTGAACTTGTTACATAGCGAAAGATGGCTTTTCACTCCTCACTCTTCTGCCTCCACCTACCAAGTGTTGTGGTTATTACATGAATTTCCTCATCCTGAGTTTGAAATCTCTTGTTAAAACACCTTCTCTAAAATGTTCACATTCAGAGTAAGTTTGCAACCTCACAGATGAGTTCTGGGCCCAGTAAAATATAGCACGTTTCTTACACTCATGTTTCAGGTGAGAACCTGATTTACCAAATTTTTATACACAGCCACTTCAAGACATTTAACAATGTTCACCATTCTATAAATATGGGTCATGAGAATGGCAGGTATTCTCAAACCAGACAGTATAACCTCTGCTCTGAAAGGCAGAGTGCTCCCATCACAGCTGTGGTGCAAGAGCTCAGCCCCACCCAGCAGGAGCTCCAGCCTCAGCTTCAAACCACATACAAGAGGACAAAAACCACACAGCATCCCAGCTGCTTCAGACCACAGGTGTGTGTTGGGGGGGTTGGTTGCCACTCAGCTCCCCAAACTCTGAGCTGACCCACCACAAAGACTTCACTGGTGAGAGCTTTCCAGTTAGCCAACCCTTTCCCACAGTGTTCCAGTGGGAACACAGGGAAGGGCAGTCACTCACCTGTAGATGTCAGCAGGGCTCCTGATGGCAGGCAGCTCCTGGGCAGCATGGCTGCCTGCACTGCTTTTCCGTTTACGTTTGGCTTCTTCTTTCTTTTCACTGAATTTTAAAGTGGTATTTTTCCCAGTATTTATTCGAACCTAAAATTTGATTCACAATAAACATTAAAAAAAAAAAAAAAAAAAAAAATTTGGGGGGGAAAAAAAAAAAAAAAAAACTTTGGGGGGAAAAAAACAAATCAAGACCCAGACTAAAACAAATAAACTCTACAGATGCAGTTGAAGGCTAGGACACTGAAATGATGCTGTTATCAGGTGAAGACTCCCCATCTTACCACACCTCTATGCTACAGTGCATCTTACTGGCCCAGGCTATTCTCCAGTCTCTATTATTGAATAGAAAGCAAAATATATTTAAACTCAACTCCATACTGACCTCAAGCTTGCCTCCTCACCTTTACCTTGTGGCTTAACTCACACATTTTAAGACAAAGCACACAGTTAACCAACGGAGATATTTGGTACAACTATCACATGTGAATTATAAATGCAACACCAGATGACACTTTAACTATTTGAACTTTTTTTAAAATTTATTTTTATTTTACATGTATGAGTATATTGCCTGCATGTATGTGAGTGCAACCGCTGTGGAGGTAGGTAGAGGGCATCAGATTCCCCTGGAACTGGAGTTAAGGATGGTTCTTAGCCACCATGTGGGTGCTGGGAATCGAACCCAGGTCCTCTCCAAGAGCAGTCAGTGCTCTTAACCACTGAACCATCTCTCCAGCTCCTATTTTGAACTTTTAAAAACACTTCTATTCAGAAAGTGAATCAGACTAAAAAATAAAAGTCAATCACATTCAAGACAGTGGTATTCCTCCATCCCTAATCAGAATTTATTCCATGCTTTCCACAACGTTCCTACAAATATTTATTTATCTAGTTTATCTAAATGAAATAAGAAATTAAAAGCCTGGAAAAAGAATCATAACACTTTAGTTTGACTCTGCTCCCAAGGAGTTCCAATGATTTTATCAGCTTGTATTCAAATTGGAAAAAGAATACCCTTTCTATCAGAGCGGAAGCCCTCATCAGTTGTGCTTTGAGGATGCTCCCTTCAGAAGTCACCGGACACTGCAATGGCCCCACAGACCTGAGCCTGGCACAGAGAAGCCCTCACCACTAACCAGCTCTGTCACAGACCTTCCCTAGAAAGACTGCTCCTGGTCTCTTAACTCACTATGCAGAACAAAGGAAGGGCAGGGTACTGATGGTATGGCCCACCCTTCCTTCATCTGGAACCAGTCTGCCTTCATCTATTTTAAATATTGAGCTATTAGGCTTCTACAGCTGGATATGGAAGAAGAAATGCTTATTTATTTATTTATTTATTTATTTATTTATTTATTTATTTATTTATTTATTTATTGGTCTTTTGAGACAGGTTCTCCCTATAGCCCAAACTGGCCTGGAACTCACTCTACAAACCAGGTTGCCCTGGATTTCACAGAGACCCACCTGCTCTGCCTCCTAAGTACTATGATTAAAGGCATGGGCCACCATGACCAGAAGAAAGGCTTTGATAATGAAGCAAACAAAGTTTGAAAACCTTAGACAGAGAGAGCTCTGTAGTCAATCCCAGCTCCAAAAAGGCTAAAGTCCTAAAGCCTTGATTATCCATGTTTACACTTGCTTTGTCAGAAAATGACTTGGTTTTCACTTGCTCCTAAGTTTTCCCTCTTGCTCAGGATGTCCCTACTCAATTGATGCCCATATTAAAAAACCAGAAAAACCAAAAAACCCCAACTACCTGATATGTATGTAAGGTATATATGTAAAAAACTAACCATACAGCCATTTTCAGATCCCCAACAAATCAAAATGCCCAGCACTGAATCAATGCCAGGTCTAGAACAGCAGAGGAAGGACAGGTGAGCTGAGTAGTTGCTACTTCTACTTGCAGCTCGAATCTGGTGTGGCTTCTGAGTGACAAACCACCGTCTGCTAACTGATTACATTTTTCCTTCCCTCCTTCTTTTGAGGTAAATTGGTCAGATAAGAGGCAAAAGATGCTTTTCTAGTTTGGCAGTATTAATCACTTTATATTTTTCTCTCTAAAAACAATCATAGATGATGTTTAATGACTAAGTTATACAGAAAATTAGTGAAGTTAGAAGTACACAAACCCTTTTAGGTTCAACTGTATGAGAAAAATATATTGTTGGTATAGAACTATCTCCTGAAGCATCTGGGCTGCTTTCATTAACACCATCCTCGTCGTCTTCATCCTCATCCTCCTCATCTTCTTCATTGCTGTGGTAAGAATGTGAGCCATTCACTGAGCTGTTCAACTGACCGCTGACTTGACCGCCGACTCCTGAGTCTCTAATGTTCTTTGGACATCTGCTGGGGATGAAGGAGTCTGGCACCTGGCGCACTGTGTTCCCGCCTGGGCTTCGCTGTTCCTTTTCCTCCTCAGAGGAAGTGGTATCTTCTCCATTTGTAGTCACAGTATCAGGCTTACTTAATGAAAGGAACAAATGAACTAGAATTAACACAAACACCACTATTCTTAACACCACCTCTGCTACTGCAGTCACTTAGCCTAAGTGGAGCATCCAGGGTACATTTTTACAACCTCTGGCTATTGGCCAGATGTACTATAAATACAACACATATTAAGGAATTTCAGAGAGCAACCAGTTTCCTGGGGCCTCTATGCTATACAGAAGCTCTCTGTTCAGTTTCTCTTCCCCCGCCTAAAGTTCCAGCTATGACTCTACAAAATTTCTCTTTAAAACTAAAAATAGTATAAGAAATCTTTCTAATGTGTTTCTATTTTTAAGACAAGAAATTAATGCCCCAAACTATAATATACTCTTATTTTCTAGCCTCAGGATTTTTTACAACAGCATATAACTTTTAAAAATAAAGGAGATATATATACATATATGTATGTATTAATATACTTACTTGGGGGGGGGTCTCTTTGAGACAGGGTTTCTCTGTAGCCCCAGCAGGCCTGAAACTTGCTATTAAACCAGGCTGGTCTTGAAGTCACAGAGATCCACCTGCCTCTACCTCCCGAGTTCTGGGATTCAAGGCTACGCCTGGCTTTATACTAACATTTATACATACAAATGCACATTTACCATGCTTCGTTTCGTAAATGATTTGAGAACCTTACAAAAATAACAAAACTAAAAATGCAACAGAACTGAAATAACATCTTGCAAAAATAGGAGAATCATGACTAAGAAAATCATAAGATTCAACATTGATTTTAAAACATGAAATAGTAGCAGCTAATCAAAAAGACCTAAGAATTTATAGGTGAAATGCTAGGGGTGAAAAAAAAAATCTTCTGTGTTTCTATTTTTCATAGAAACTAATTACTGCATATGGTACATCATTTAAGCAAAATAATATAGGAGCTTCTGTAGTAGCAGACTTCATTTAGCACTCTTGACAATTCTAAGTGAGTGCTAATGCGTATTTCAAACAGCAGTTAGTTGAAGTTTCTCATACATAGAACTACCTGACCAGATTACAAATTGTCTGCTCAATAAACAGAAAAGTTTGTTAATGGAATGCAAGGACAAACATTTTACAGTATCGAATTTAAATTCAAAGCAAATTTTTTAACAAGTTACTAAAAGAACATTATCCTGAGAGCAGTATAAAAATGTATCATTTAAAATATATTTAGAGGTGGGGGGCTTTAGTTTGGTGGTAGAGTGCTTGCCTTTCATGCTAGAGACCACCACCACCAAAAATAAAGCTTGATCATCTTTAAATTTTTGGTTAGTATATAATGCAACTACTGACAATGACAGATAACTAGTTTGCTATGTATAATATGGTGAAATCAGAGTAACACGGAGATTGTGATCTCTGGTGTGGATATGCAAACATGGCAATGTGCTCCCCTGAAAAGAACCTCTGCAGCAGTGACAGCTATCTGGGGCTTGCAGATATTTCCACGGCTTCCTGTGCTTCCTTCAGTGAGCATGTACTGTTTTATTAAGGAAGGAACAAGCAGGCATTCTCTTGGACAGACAACCCATCAGTAGGTACCTCTCAAGTTCACCCAGCAATTCTTCTTGTCTCTCCAGCTCTTCTAGTCGAGCCCACAGTTCCTCATCAGCAAGTAAACCCTTGGGTTTGACATCATTTTCAAAATCTACCTCAAAAGTATCTGAAGTTTTTGGTTTGGAATGAGGTTTATGAGCAATTCGTTGTTTCCCTATTTAAAAAAGGAAAGTCGTGACTGTTAGCAGAGCTGGTGAAAATTTAGGGAGAGGGATGTTGAGACAGAGGGGCATAAACTCAAAGTCAAACAGGACACCCCGGATGCATGTCTCTAGAGCCTTGCTTTTCTGACTGTGGTCGGTGGCCCAACAGCTCTGGCAACCTGGGGAGAACTGCACAAGTGAGGGCACTCAGGCCTCCTGAACATGATGAATCACAATCTGCATTCCAGTGGGAGCCTAGAGAATGCACACACATGTTTAAAGGTTGTGAAGAGATATTCCAGAGCTTCAGAACTGCACAAGCACCAAGTCACACTGCACCCTGATTCGAACTCAAAATTACACACACACAAGTAATATTCACTTACCATCTTAACTCAAGAGAATTTAGTTACTAGAATAATATAAAATGCCTTGCCGGGAGCTACTTTAAACCCTAAGGCACCAAAGGAATGCATACCCCAGGGGGAAATGATAGAGACTAATCTATGGAAAGTTCTATTATAATTTTATATATGAACAACTCCACCTTTTAAATTGATTTTATTTGCAACTGTTATGTGGAGGCAGGAGATAGATCAAATGTGAAACCAAAACTATCTGATTTTCATTTTTAAAACAGATTTCTCTTAATAAAGCAAATTAAAGTGATGAGAAGTCTAAAATACTGTTGTGAGATCTGGCTCTACCAGATGACTGCAACTCTATCTCACATTCGAACTCACGTCTGAAGTAGTACAGGCAACCTGTATGTAAGACCTGAGCTGTCCAAACTTAAAAGCACTGCAGTGTTATCTGGTAGCCTTACTCTCTGCAGGCAGCAATGGTTTAGCAGTGGTTTACCATGCTGTAGACTTCTGGCACACATGATTCTTCACTGGTTACTCCCTAACTTGTCTTCCAGCTCTCTGGTGTAGGCTTTCTGTTTCACCTTAGAAAGCCACATCAGTCCCAATGCCAGTGATGCCTCAGTAGAAGGTCTACTGCTAGAACGTGGCTTCTAGAAAGAGCTCTTCTTTCAACCAGTAAGTTTCCCTCAGTTACTTGAAAAATAAAAGTACATGTTCTACAGCTGCCAGTTATAATTCCTCAGTGCTGTAACATGCACAACTGATAAAGGAGCTGCTTCCTTTACAGGACTGGTCCAAACATATGGCCCATCCTTGGCAAAGCAGCTATGCAGATGAGAGCAGACACAGCCTGGGCAAAGCCCCAGAACCACAGAAAAGCAGAGGCTAAGATATGCTGGCATGAATTCCTTCTTCACAAACAGTGCCTGAAACTTTTAAAGAAGAAAACCAGCATTAACAGCTCCTGACTTGGCCAAGGTCAAAGATCAAAGACCAGATGGGGGACAGGTCCACGTGTGGAAGACACAGCTCCTGTGTGTGAGCAGTCTGGGATCAATCAGCAGGACTCTGGAGAGTGCAAACAGACATGCAGTTCCACCTCTTCTACACATTAGTCAGAAATCAAGTTTTTATCAAAATGTATTTGCCCATTAAGTTTGTATAAACATTAGTGAATATATGGACTGTTTGTATCTCGTAAATTTTAAAAGTGTACTATAAACCCCAAATATTTCAAAAGACCTCTTAAAAATCAAAACAAATGGCAAGTATCTAAAAAATTTCAACAATCTCACTGCTTACCTTTAAACTCAAGA